CCGTAAAGAGAAATCCCTCAAAAAGGAAAGAGAAAATGGACTTGCAACCCAGTGGGTATATGGGTTGGGTCAACCAGAATTCCCGGAGTCCCAAAAAAAGGATCGTGTGGGGGTTGATCAAATGGTACGAAATAATACATGGGATGATCAGTAGTTGGAAACCCACAAAGAAGATTTGATATTTCAACCACTAAATACCCATGGTCATTTGCGGGGCCAGGAATATGAATCAACCCAATGTTTTCTTGCTAGATCTTGGTGGTTGGCTTTAAAGAGAACCCCCTTTCAAAACAGAAAAAGGACTCGCGACGTGTCTAAATCCGAAAAAAAATCTCGGAACAACCTCCCCTTAGGCCCCTTCGGTGCACTGGGAAGCGCCCTGCCCCGCATGTCCTTCGCGCACGCACTGATCACCGCGTTGAAGGAGATGGACGATGCTTGCAGTCCGGCGAGCGACAGCAAGCCTCAAAAGCCCGGCCCCGCGGGCGCTGAAAGAAGAACACGCAAGGGGGGCGCCTCGTGTTTTCTTTCAAGGTACCTTATGTATTGTTGCCAATGACTTTATATGTATACATATATATATATATGTATATATGCATATATATATATATATAAATGCATATGGGTCTGTCCTTTTTCAGGGTGCCTTCTGTTTCGTGTTTGTTTGTTTTAAAGGGAAACTAAAAGGAACACCGTTGCGAGATTTTGGGGGTCCCTTCAACAAAAGACACTTACCAGCTATTTAGCAGATTCCCGAGTGTAAATCAGGCGGGTCTTTGATTGTATCTTCCCACACGAACCCGGGGAAAAGAGGACGCAAGCTCTTCTCCTGGTCGGTGTTGTTTCGTCCCCAAAAAAAAATCACGGCCGGGCATTTCCCGGTACAAAAATTTTTCAGGTGTAAAGGGAAAAGCCCCTCCCCAAAAAACGAGGGCCTTTCATGGTACCAAAACTTGTCCAGGTGTAAAGGGAGCGAGACGCCTCTGGGAGATTTGGAGAGCTAAAAATTTGGAGGTGCAAAGGGAAACCCCTTCCGAAGAAACGGAACGAGACCGCCCCTGGGAGATTTGGAGAGCCAAAGAGGAAGACCCAATCCAACCCCGGGCCGGCGGTCCGGAAGCCTTCCACCCAAAACCCGCCGCCCAGTTCCGAGCTCACTCTGAACCTAAGTCGGGCAGGTAAAAAACCCGGGCTTTAAAGGAGAAAGGAAGAACGTGGGCGCGTCCCAAAGATTTATCCCTTAGACCGCAACTCCTCCCAAAAAGTCATGCCGGCATATCCCCCAAGTGCTGGAAGAAAAAGAAGAATAACAAGGATGATCATAACAAGGATAATAATTATGATGATAATGACAATGATACTGGTACAATGATCATATTTCTCATAAAACAAGCCAGTGGAATCTCGCTTCGCCACGCAACTGAGGCCCTGCTCCCAGCACGCGGCCGCCCCGCACGCCGCGACGGCCGCATTGCAGACCGCGCCGTCGGCAAGGCTCAGGTCCCGCGCCGCACGGAGCAAGAGAAGCACCTGGCGCCACCTGGGCCGAGCGAAGTAAGACCTGGAAGTCGAGGAAGGACCACTTGTCTTACGTTGCCACCTGTGGCTCCTCATTTTTGAGTTACCACTTTTTTGGGCTTGGGTGGCTCGTCGTTTTTGAGTGTCCACTTCTTTTGCGGAGCTTGAAGAAGAACCAGCTAAGTAGCCAGCTAGCTAAGTCTTAGCCAGGTGGTTAGCTAGTGGGGCATAACTCCCAGTGAGACTCTTTGGGTGTTTTGAGTTGGAACTACTTTCTTTGCGCGGGTCTTTTTTGGGGGGAACCAGCGAGTTGGTTAGCCGGGCATTTCCAGTGAGAAGGAGTTTGGAGGTATAGATGCCACCAATATAGGCTGGCAAGGCAGTACATAGCCCTCGTAGAAGTGGTGTTCAACCTCCATACTGTGGATGGTTGCAAAATCCATTTCGCACCACCGTTCAGAAACCCTTGTTGCGGATGATTCCCCTGTAAATACCAACAAACCATGGTTGTCCATAGATTCAAAGTGGATTTCGTCCATCCACAGTAAGGCCTCCAAGTAAAACTCTTTGGGTGGCTCGTCTTTTTGTTGAGTTACCAGTGTTTTGCGGGTTTTACATGCGAACCAAAAGGGACACTGTCCATTTTGGGCCCCACCCAAAACCCGCTTGGATCTGAACCCCCGGGCAAAAAAAGTGATACTTGTTGATAGTCTCACTCCCTGAGTGGATTGGCCAAAACAATTTAAACGTGTTGCTTACCTTATTTACAACTGACGTGGCCTTCCCAAAGAGCATCAAGTCCAGATACTCAGAAAGTGAGTAGCATTTTGGACAAGGTTCTACTAAGGAACCAAGCCACCGTCCAGCACAGGCTGTGATGATCGAACTATATGTCACCGCCGAAGGCTGCAGTCGTCGTCTTTGAGCTTCCGAGAACAGAAGCAACGCTCGCTCCCATTGACCGCCTTCATCACATGCACGGATGCATGCGTTGAAGGTGACAATGTCAGCCCGAAGCTTCAATGATGGTAAAGTCAGAAGGGTCGTCAAAGCACGTCGCCACTCTTCACTCGCACAGGCGGTGATCAGTGCATTGCATGTCGTGATACTCGGCTGCAACCCACTGATCATGAGCCTGTGAAACAAGCAAAGGACTTGCTCCCACTGTCCCTGTTCAAGCGCGCTGATGCATGCCTTACAACGCTTGGTATGGTAGCAGAAAACTAACGGGATTTGCAGGCCCCCCACGTAACATGAAAAAAACACTTGCCAACGACAAAACACTCACCACATGTTTGCTGTCGCCTACTACATATGAACAAGAAAAAAGATAAACACTTGCCAACATTGTTGCTGCACCCTACAAAAAATCAAATAAACAAAGCAACACTTGCCAACAACAGCACCGATGCGTTGTAGGCAATGGTGCCGGTCTCCACGCCGCAGCTTGCTGCCATACAAAGCGCGTGCACAGCTTTCGGCCACTGGGCCGATGTCGACCTCTCGCAGGCGCTGATGGTGGAACCAAAGGTGACCGCCGTGGGGCGCAAGGCTTTACCTCGAAGCTCCTCGTGAGAAGAAATCCACTTTGGGGGAGGGTGAAACCCATGCTGCGAAACATCTCCCAAAAAGCAAGAAAAAGTACCCGGCAGTTTTGTGGGGCGTGTGGCGAAAAATCGGCTTACTGGAGCAAACACCTCCGCGTTTTGCTTTGGTTGGAGAATGTTGGAGACTAACATCATACCCTGACAAGACGTGATTGAAGCATATGGGCGTGAGTTTTTATAGGGGCCCTTTTGGTGGACGTCAGAATTGGGAATTCATGTCCATCGCTTGTGAGGTGATGAGCCATAAGGGCGTGCCTGTTTTTTGGAGTTGGCTGCCCTTTTTTGCCTGGTGCTAAAGCGATTTCATGTTTAGAGCTAGGCCCAGTTATAGAATGTAAGTCTTGCTGTCTGCTTCTCTTTGAGCCACTGGTAAAATTACAAAATGTATCCTAATGAACAGACGGGATCTCTGACGAAGACGAGCCCATCTCCGGCTCCTTAAAGAGGCCCGAGGCCGCTTCCCAGCGGCAGGCGCTCATCGACGCGTTGAAGGAGATCACGTCGGCCTTGAGCGCTGCGCTTTGTGCAGAGTCTAAGACTCCCACGGCCTGCAGCCACCTGAGCTGTGGCTCTATGATACAGCTTCATCTGTAGCCTTGCTACAATCCAATTCTTTGAAGCATACAGGGTTCTGTGTAGAGGCCTCCTTTTCCCAAATGCTAGAATCCCTACCATACAGCTTCACCTTTAATATAAAGGTCTAAATGATTGCTAATAGTATACTCCTACAATTGTGACAAAACTTCGCTTTATGGTGCCCCAAACCCGAATTCTATCTATTTCGCCTCTTATATTAGAGGCTTTGCCAGAACCCCAATTTTGAAAATCATAGGGGTCCTACGAGGTCGTATTTAAAAAAAACGTGCTGTCAAAACTCTTTATATACAAATATCCCATGGCCATGGTATACGCCTCCTGCGAACTCGCAGGATGACCGTGAGCCATTACAAAGGTGTTTTTTCAGGATTCACTAGGATTCACTTGGTTATAAGGTTCCCTCAATCAGGATCATTATAGTGGTTATCAAGAATCCTTACAGCCAAGCGGATGACCATGCCCGTTGACCCCGAGTCCAGGGGTCTCTTGACCGTGGTCTTGGTGGCGTTCGAGACAAGGCCCGAAGCCGTCACCCGGAAGTTGGCCGGAAACCAGACGAAAACATTCTGGGCTCAGTGGTCCTTTAGGGACCTGCAATTGCCTCTTTGTTATTTTTCTTCGGGTGCCCCCTGTTTAAGTGGCAAGCTTAAAGGAAAAAAACATTGTGGGGGTGCCCAAAAAAAACACAACCCCACCTGGGAATGAAAACATGCTCACTTCTCGGAGCCTATCTCGAAGGTGGGTCCTTACAGGGGGTGATCTGCACTGAGTGTGAGTCAAGCTGAATGAAGGAATCCCCAAGAGGCGGTCCTGCATGGGTGAGCAGTGGGGAAGCAGCTCTTTTCCCAAAACAAGCTTTACCCACCCCACCCACCTTTTTTAAGAGGGTAGGTTTGAAACATACAAGTGTGGTCCATGGTCAATACCCTTTTGAAGTCAGCAAAAATTGTGCATCCAAAGTACCCCACACATATGTTAAAGAGGAAACCATTTTCCCAGGTATGGGACCTTTGTCTTGATTTGTCTATGGTACCAAACAGAGGGTATTTGGAGTCCTGTTCACTTCGGATATATCCGGAGGAACTCAAAGAAATCCATGAATAGACTGGCTGGGCAACTCCAAAGACTCGCGCAAGTTTCCAGGTTCATTTCCCGCTGGGTGTAGGGGAACCCCGAAAATCGGTTGGTTTTGGTTTGAAAGGAAACCAAAAGTAACCCCATCATTTTCGGGTGTGCTCCTAAGCAAGGATACCCCCAATCGGGTTGGCTTAGCATGAAAGCCAAAAGGAAGACCCACCATTTTCGGGGTGCTCTCCCAAAAAAAAGAACCACACCCCGCAGCGCTCCTTAAAAAGAAAACAACAAGAAAAACAAAAACAACTCCCCCCAAATCAAGTTTCTGGGCTCCCCTTCGGTTCTTCTTGGGCCCAAAAGGAGGGGCCAAGACACTGCTCGGACTTCCCACCGGCGCTGATCGTGGCGTTCCACGTGACCACCGTCGCAGTCAGCGCCGTCAAAGCGGCCGCCAACAAGCCCAGCGCCTGGAGCTCGCGAGCGCGCGCGGGAGATCGATCCAATATTTTTTTTGGGGGGGAAATCCAAAGGTCCCGAAATACGTGGGATGACCAGGGGAAAAGATTTTGCTTTTTGTTTGGTCTACCACATGGGAAGAAGTTGTTTTCAACCACACACTGGTTGAAAAGTTACCCCTTCGTCATTTGTGGACCGAACGGAAAATTATCACTTCTGGACGTGAAGGCGAAGGATGGCGGCGTTCTTTTCTCCGCAAGATCCCAGTTCACTGAAAATCCCCCTAAGTTGCGATCTTACAGGTGACTGCAGCTTTTGGAGGTCCAAAACAAGGAAACTTGAGGGACCCCCAAAGTCTGGTTGGTCTATATCGCAAAAAACATCGAGGGCATCGGCCACATCTGCACAGAAGTCCCGCCGTTTTGCGACCGAGACGACCGAAGCGACCCAAGTCGATTCGCCTGGCGCCAGGTTTGGTCGCAGGCGTTGAGCGCGGTGTTGCAGGACACCGCGTCCGGACGGAACTGCCGGAGCCCCAAAAGGCCCAAGACGCCCAGAGCCTGGACGCCCGAAAGCTTCGGAGAACAAAAAAAACGGCGCAAATGTGTGGGGTGGTGAAAAATATTATACTAAAATTAACTGTTTCAGGCCTCTGTTGATAATAAACTGTTCAATGGTACAATCAACTCCCAAAAAAAGCAGGTAGTGGGTGTCCCCCTCCAAATTTCTTTCGAACACCTCAGGAAATGTCGATAGCAGCGTGTGCAAAGTTTCTCAGGTGAGTTATTTGTTTTTGCGCCAACAGCAAGCTGCCCAAATAAGCTCCGGAGTGGCTCGGGGCAGCTTTCGGGGAAGGCTCAAAAGGAGGGAGGGGTTCCGAGCCTTTTTCGGGATATCACCTGGAGACCTTCCTGTGAGCTAAAGGAGGGGAACCCCTCACGCGTCGAAACCAACAAGGCCCAGCCATGAAACAAACAAATGGGTCTGCTGTTCTTTGTTTGTTTGGTTTGTTTGTTTTGTTGTTTTTGCGTTGTGCTTTTTGTGCTGTGTGTTGTTGTGTTGCGTGTTTTTGTGTTTGTGTTCTTTGCTTTAATTTGTTTGTATTATTTGTGTTTAGTTGTGTGCTTTGTGTTTGATGTTATGTGTGTTGTTTGTGTGTTTGTGTATTTTGTGTTTTATTATCATTGTTGTTATTATCATTGTTGTTATTATTATTATTATCATTATGATTGTTATTGTTCTTGTTATTGTTATTGTCATTATTATTATCCGCCGACCCTTTCTCTAAAAAGGGGAGGCGCACGGGAAGGGTGGTTGGCGCATAAGTATAACCAAAGTTTCATCCTCATCAGCATCAGCAGCTGCAGCTACGATAAATGTTATCGTCACGGTCATCGTGATCATCATCATCCTTATCATCATCTCTTTCTTATTCTCTTATCCTTATCATCATTATCATCATGGTTATCGTCATCTCTTATCAAGCAGCATTGGTGATGCAGAGGATGCTGCGACGATAGTTATCATCACAGCCGTTACTGATGCTAAGGATGCTACGATGATAGTTATCGCCCTTGTCATCTTTCTCATCATCTGATCATCACCTAGCATCATCTGATATCATATTACATATTACATATTATATGTAGAAATCAAAAGGGACGTCAGACATCCTTGGCAATGCAAAAGATGCGATGATGATAGTTATCAAGGAACAAGTCGTGATGTGGAGGGTGTTGTGATGATAGTTGTCATGACGCGGATGATAACCATCAGCACGCCCCCATTATCATCCTGGTCGTCGTCATCTCTTTTCGCGCAGCATTGGTGATGCAGAGGATGCTGCGATGATAGTTATCATCACAGCCGTTAGTGATGCTAAGGATGCTACGATGATAGTTGTCATCCTCGTCATCATCTTTATCATCATCTGATCATCACCGGGCATCATCCAATATCTTATTACATATAGAAATCAAAAGGGACGTTAGACATCCTTGGCAATGCAAAGGATGCGATGATGATAGTTATCAAGGAACAAGTAGTGATGCAGAGGATGTTGTGATGATAGTTGTCATGATGCGGATGATAATGATCATCAGGCCCGTGCCATTATCATCATGGTCGTCGTCGTCTCTTATCAGGCAGCATTGGTGATGCAGAGGATGCTGCAATGCTCGTTATCATCACAGCCGTTGGTGATGCTAAGGATGCTACGATGATAGTTATCATCCTCGTCGTCATCTATCTCATCATCTGATCATCACCTAGCATCATCTCGTGTCTTATCATATCGTACAATATATAGAAATCACAAGGGGCGTTAGACATCCTTGGCAATGCAAAGGATGCGATGATGATAGTTATCAAGGAACAAGTAGTGATGCAGAGGATGTTGCGCTGATAGTTGTCATGGTGCGGATGACAACGATCATCAGGCCCGTGCCATTATAATCATGGTCGTCGTCATCTCTTATCAGGCAGCATTGGTGATGCAGAGGATGATGCGATGATCGTTATCATCACAGCCGTTGGCGATGCTCAGGATGCTACGATGATAGTTGTCATCCGCGTCATCATCTTTCTCATCATCTGATCGTCACCTAGCATCATCTCATGTCTTATCATATCTTACTATATATAGAAATGAAAAGGGACGTTAGACATCCTTGGCAATGCCAAAGATGCGATGATGATAGTCATTAAGGAACAAGTAGTGATGCAGAGGATGTTGTGATGATACTTGTCATGACGCGGATGATAACGATCAGCACGCCCTTGTATCATCATGGACGTCGTCATCTCTTATCAGGCAGTATTGGTGATGCAGAGGATGCTGCGAGGATAGTTGTCATCGCAGCCGTTAGTGATGCTAAGGATGCTACGATGATAGTTATCATCCTTGTCATCATCTTTATCATCATCTGATCATCACCTGGAATCATCCAATATCCTATTATATATAGAAATCAAAAGGGACGTTAGACATCCTTGGCAATGCAAAGGATGCGATGATGATGGTTATCAAGGAACAAGTAGTGATGCAGAGGATGTTGTGATGATAGTTGTCAGGATGCGGATGATAACGATCATCCGGCCCGTGCCATTATCATCATGGTCGTCGTCATCTCTTATCAGGCAGCATTGGTGATGCAGAGGATGCTGCGATGATCGTTATCATCACAGCCGTTGGTGATGCTAAGGATGCTACGATGATAGTTGTCATCCTCGTCGTCATCTTTCTCATCATCTGATCATCACCTAGCATCATCTCATGTCTTATCATGTCTTACTATATATAGAAATCAAAAGGGACGTTAGACATCCTTGGCAATGCAAAAGATGCGATGATGATAGTTATCAAGGAACAAGTAGTGATGCAGAGGATGTTGTGATGATACTTGTCATGACCCGGATGATAACGATCAGCACGGCACCACTATCATCATGGTCGTCGTCATCTCTTTTCGCGCAGCATTGGTGATGCAGATGCTGCGGCGATGATAGTTATCATCGCAGCCGTTAGTGATGCTAAGGATGCTGCGATGATAGTTATCATCCTTGTCATCATCTTTATCATCATCTGATCATCGCCTGGCATCATCTAATATCTTATTATATATAGAAATCAAAAGGGACGTTAGACATCCTTGGCAATGCAAAGGATGCGATGATGATAGTTATCAAGGAACAAG